TGGGGGCAGGGGGAGAGATACCAGGGACTGGGAGTCAGCTCCGAGGGTTCTGCTGGAAGCTGACCCCTCCCTCCATCTGGCAATCAGCTGACGGGTGGCTGCACTCCCGGGGATGCCCAGGATGGCAGCACCGGGGCTGTTTGTTCACCAGTGGATCCCCAGCACCTAACAGCTTGGGACGGACTAGGCACTCCATTAATGTCGCTCAGTGGAAGGGTATTCGTGGGAGGAGAGGTTGGGAAGGCTTTCTGGAGGTGACAGCCCGGTGAAGAGGCGGAGAATAGCATTTCAGGCCAAGGAACCACGTGGGTGAAGCCTGAGCAGCAGAGAGCCCCTGGCAGTAGAGGATGGGGTGGAGCTAAAGGCCCAGCAGGAACAGGGACGGGGCTTAGACGCTGGTCTGAGGCTGGTCCAGCCCCGCCGCCTCCTCAGGCTCCCACCAACTCTGAGCCACCAGGTTGTTTTGTTTTGTTTGTTTCATTTTGAGACTGTCTCGCTCTGTCACCCGGGCTGGAGTGCAATGGCGCTATCTCCGCTCACTGCAACCTCCACCTCCCGGGTTCGAGCAAGTCTCCTGTCTCAGCCTGCAGAGTAGATGGGATTACAGGCACGTGCCACGACACTCGGCTAATTTTTGTACTTTTAGTAGAGACGGGATTTCACCATGTTGGTCGGGCTGGTCTCAAATTCCGGACCTCATGATCCACCCACCTCAGCCTCCCAACGTGCTGGGATTACAGGCGTAGCTGCTGCGCCCGGCCCAGACCCTTCTTTGTAAAATGAAGACCCAAGGCATGATTCTGAAGGGTCTCTTCAGTAACAGCGTTATTTCGATGTAATTCACACACCATACACTCCAGCCACTTGCCCTGTGCAAATCATTGGTTTTCAGTATATTCACAGTTGTGCAATCATCACCACAATCAATTTTAGAACAGTTCTATCACCCCAAAAAGAAATTCTGTGTCCATTAGTAATTATGCCCTATTCCCTCCCCTTCCCCCAGCCCCTGGCAACCAGGAATCTACTTTCTGTCTCTATGGATTTGCCTTTTCTGGACATTTCACAGAAAGAGAATCATTGCTTGAAGCCAAGAGTTCAAGGTTAACCTGAGCAACAAAGCAAAACACCGTCTCTACAGAAAATTTAGAAATTAGCCGGGCACAGTGGCACACACCAGTAGTCCCAGCACTTTGGAAGGCTGAGGCAGGAGGTTCACTCAAGGCAAGGAATTCAAAACCAGCCTGGGCAACATACAGAGTCCCAGTCTCTACAAAATATTTCAAAATTAGCCAAGCATGATGGTATGTACCTGTAGTCCTAGCTTACTCAGAAGGCTGAGGTGGGAGGATCACCTGAGCCCAGGAGTTTGAGGCTGCAGTGAGCCATGATTATAACACTGCATTCCAGTCTGGGTGACAGAGTGAGAGCCCATCTCTAAAAAAAGAAATAAATAAATATGGCCAGTCACAGTGGCTCACACCTGTAATTCCAGAACTTTGGGAGGCCAAGGCGGCCGAATCACTTGAGCTCAGGAGTTTGAGGCCAGCCTGGCCAACATGGTGAAACTCCATCCCTACCATAAATTAGCCAGGTGTGGGCTGGGCGCAGTGGCTCACCCCTGTAATCCCAGCATTTCGGGAGACTGAGGCGAGTGGATCACCTGAGGTTGGGAGTTCAAGACCAGCCTGACCAACATGGAGAAACCCCGTCTCTACAAAAAAATACAAAAAATTAACCGGGCGTGATGGCACAGGCCTGTAATCCCAGTGACTTGAGAGGCTGAGGCAGGAGAATCACTTGAACCCAGGAGGCAGAGGTTGCAGTGGGCCGAGATCCCAGCTTTGGCAACAAAAGCAAAGCTCCACCTCAAATAATAATAATAATAAATTAGCCAGGTGTGCTACTGCACACCTGTAGTCCCAGCTACATGGGAGGCTGAGGCACGAGAATCCCTTGAACCTGGGAGGCAGAGGTTGCAGTGAGCTGAAATTGCACCACTGCACTCCAGCCTGGGAGATAGAGTGAGACCTCATCTCTAAAAAGAAAAAAAAAAAAAGAGAATTATACAATAATTTCCTTTTGTGTCTGGCATCTCTCACTCAGCATAATGTTCTCCAGGTTCATCCTCATTGTGGCGTGTGTCAGTGCCTCACTCCTCTTCGTGGCTGACTAGTACTCCATCACATGCATGGACCACCTTTTGCTGATTCCCTCATTCATGTCTACTGTGGGGCTCTTATGAATAACGCTGCCAGGAACATCCAGGTAGGTGGTTTTGTGTGGACATAGGATTCCTGTCTGTAGGGAACATACCTAGGAGTGGAATTGCTCAATCATATAGTAACTCTGCATGGAGTGGCTTGTGAAGGCTAAATTTGATAATTTCAGGAACTTCTTATCCATGCTCCTCACCCACACAGTGGCTTTCCTCCCTCTGCCCCAGGACACTGGAGCAGCTCCTCCCTGGCCTTGCAGTTGGGGGCCCCAGGTCCGATGCTCTGCCAGCTACTTCCTGTATGACCCGTGGACTGTGGATCCCCTTCTCTGACCTACAAGGTAATGGACAGACCAGGCCATAGGGACAGAGGGTGGGGAGTGTCCCTGCATCCTGGGAGGGTCCCTTGTGTCCTGCTCTCTGTTTGAATGTCCTCTGCCAAGAAACAGATATCAACAAGTTCCTTCTGCCCAGCCAGATTCTCCCAAGGCTCCAGGGGTTTTTAGGGTCCACACTGCCCAAGCTCATCTTGACCCCTGTCTAAGCCAGACGACCAGGCAGATGGTCTGTCTGTCCATCCTCCGGCTGTGAGACATGTGGAGGAAGGGGAGATGGGCTGTGCTGCTCCCGCTGGTGGGCCCAGTAAACCTCGTCCCTTGGGGAGGTGACAAGGAGGGCCAAAGCAGAAGACAGAGAGGGGAAGAAGTGAGGAGTCCTGGGGAGCCAGGCCATGCTGGGAGGAAGGTCCTGCCTGGCCTCCGATCCATGACCAGTCCTGGCTGTGTCTCTGTCCCCTTCACCAACTATTTCTTTGTGGGTGATTTTGATCCCTGTCTCCACCTACCCATGAGCTCTACAAGGGCAGAGATGGGGTCAGTTTTGATTCCGTTCATGGCTCCACCACCAACCAGAGTGAGAGCTGATATTTGTTGAATGACTAAGTGACTGTGTGTGTGTGTGTGTGTGTGTGTGTGTGTGTGTCCCTCCCTGACACCCCTCTCCACCTCCTTCCCAGTCTGTCCCTTCCCCAGGGTGGGAACCCACAGCCTGGGGCTCCACAGGCAAAGGCAGGGCCTGTGAGCCGTGACCCCACTCTGGAAAATGATTAGCGGCCCCGCCCTCAACCTGGGACAGCTGGGGCAGACTTCACACAGCAAGGAGGAGCTCTGAGAACTTTCTCCCTGGGCTGGGGCCCTGCCACTCCGTGCTACACATGGCCGACCACCAGTGGCCTCTGATCAGGGTCCTTGTCCTGCCATGCCGGGTCAGCTGGTGATGGTCAGCCTGGCAGGGGTGCACGGGGCTTCCAGTACTGCTCCAGGCAGCCAGCTCAGGTCCTCTCTGCCTACACCTGCCCCTTTCTGCTTCTCCCTGCAGGAGGAACAGTGGCTCTGGGAAGGGCTCTGCGGGCAGGGCCTGTGGAAGGCGGCTCTGCTGTGGCAGAGAGGGAGTTGTTGAGCGGGCAGCGGACTTCAAAGGCACGGGGCCAGGCAGGGTCTGGACTGTGCTGCCTTCTCCCAGAACTCCCACCTCTGCATCTGGGGCCATCATGTCCCCAAGAGTGGACTGAGGCCCCAGAGCAGACTGGCCTTCACCTGCAAACTGGGCCCCTGTGTGCAGGGCTGTGTCCCCAGGGCTGTGTCCTGGGCTCCACTGTGTCGCTGTGTCCAGGCCTGTAGCTGGGAGGCGGGAGGCCTGCTGGTGCGGGAGATCTCACCACAGCAGCGTAGGGGTGCTGAGCCTGCGGGGGCTGGGAAGTAGTGACTGCTGCCTGCACCCCAGAGCGGCAGGCTCATCCGCACATCCATGTTAGGAGGGGTGTGGTAGGGAGGAGAGGGTGGGAGGGGGCGACTGGGTTCTGGGGGTGGGCAGCAACCCGACTCCAAATTGAGGGCCCAGCAAAGGGTGGCTGTGGGCAGGGGCTGTGTGCGGCGTCACTAGAGAACGGGGTGGTGTTTCCAGCAATGGAGTGTCTGTGTGGAATCAGCCACCCTGCCCTCCGGCTCCTTCTGGGTGACACCCCATCCTCGGGGCTGGCCCCTGGATTTCCTTGAGAAACAGAAGACTGAGGGTGCCGCCCCTTCCCCCCCAGGGCACAGCCTTGCCTCTCAAGAGTTGGGTTCAGAGCCGGGCGCGGTGGCTCAAGCCTGTAATCCCAGCACTTTGGGAGGCTGAGGCGGGTGGATCACGACGTCAAGAGATCCAGACCATCCTGGTCAACATGGTGAAACCCCGTCTCTACTAAAAATACAAAACATTAGCTGGGCATGGTGGCACGTGCCTGTAGTCCCAGCTACTCAGGAGGTTGAGGCAGGAGAATTGCCTGAACCCAGGAGGCGGAGGTTGCGGTGAGCTGAGATCGCGCCATTGCACTCCAGTCTGGGTAACAAGAGTGAAACTCTGTCTCAAAAAAAAAAAAAAAAAAAGAGTTGGGTTCAGGAGCAGCGGGCAGGCCTGGGCACGGCTGGGTGGTCACCTCGGGCGAGGGACAAGGGAGAAAGAGGAACTCTGTGTCCAGGACACTGTGATCCCTGGCCAGGGCCCAGGCCTGGCTCAGAGCACCCCCAGGAGACGTCTGCGGCACGAACGGGGACCGACCGCGCTTTGGACTCCTGCTCACCCACCGCTTTCCGCTCCCCTGAGTGTCGGCTGCGGCGCGGAACCTAGTCCTGACCGGCAGGGGGCGAGCTCGCTCCGCGCTGCCGGCCGGGCGGGTCTGAGTGCGCAGGCGCGGGGGTGGGCCGACGCTGCAGTTCCCCGGGTAGCCGCGGGGTGGCGCGGCGGAGGCGGCGAGCGGTCCTCGCGGAGAAGGCCCCTCCGCCACGCCCGCCTCCCGGCGGGTGCCTGGCACCCAGGCCAAGGCCTCTGGGCGTCCGAGGGTGCAGGGGCGACTGCAGGGGATTGCTGGCCTTCACGAAGTGACCGCTGTAGGCAGCGCAGTCTCAGCCGCGGGTGCCCTTTCCAGGGTCACCGGAGCAGGACAGAGCTGGGGGCGGGGGCGGCGCGGCCGGTGGGAACGGTAGGCGTGAGTGGGGCGTGGGTGGAAGCGGGACGCCCCCATCCCCTTCTCCAGGCAGCTGGGTGGGACCTAGGCTGCCCGCACCTGGCCCGCCCTCAGGGCCAGATCCTGGGTTTCCACCTGCCAGGCCTCTCCTCGCCCACCTCTCTTCCCGACAACCCACACAGCTCCCAGCTGCCTTCCCCCAGCCAGAGCCCTCTTTGCACAGTGATAACCAGACCAGGTCGCTCCCTCAAGGTTTCCACCGTCCTTGCCTGCTCTGACCTGGGCTGACCCCACCTCTCCAGTTTGATTTCGTTTGTCGTAATTACAGTTTGGTGGTTTCTTCTTGAGAAGGGGGTCTCTGATACCTGGGCTGGAGTGCAGTGTCACGACCATGGCTCCCTGCAGCCTCGAATTCCTGGACTCAAGCGATCCTCCCAGCTCAGCCTCCCGGATAGCCGGGACTACAGGTTTGTTACTACACCCAGCTGAGTTTTGTAGTTTTAATAGAGATGGGTTTTTGCCCTGTTGTCCAGGATGGTCTGGAACTCCTGCACTTAAATGACCCACCTGCCTTGGCCTCCCAAAGTGCTGGGATTACAGGCCTTAGCCCAGGCTGGCCTTGAATTCCTGGGCCAAGGAATCCCCCGCCTCGGCTTCCCAGAGTGCTGGGATCACAGGTGTGAGCTCCTGAGCTCTGTCAATTATGTTTTTGTTTGTTTGTTTGTTTGTTTTGAGACGGAGTCTAGCTCCGTCGCCAGGCTAGAGTGCAGTGGCATCATCTTTGTTCACTGCAACCTCCTTCTCCCAGGTGCAAGTGATTCTTCTGCGTCAGCCTCCCTAGTAGCTGGGACTACAGGCACGCGCCACCACGCCCGGCTAATTTTTGTATTTTTAGTAGAGACGGGTTTCACCATGTTGGCCAGAATGGTCTCGATCTCTTAACCTCGTGATCCTCCTGCCTCAGCTTCCTAAAGTGCTGGGATTACAGGCGTGAGCCACCAGGCCTAGCCAACATTGTTACAAATTGAGCGGGGCCAGGCTAGTGGGCAAGAATCAGTTTGCAGGGCCCAGTTATTCATTGGGGGAGGTGGACAGGAACTAGTAACAAGTCGCCTTCTGTCTGTGCGGATTCCTCCAGGAAGACCCAAGGGAAAGGAGTGAGGGTGTCTGGAAGCAGGCTGGGGGCCACCCCTCCACAGGAGAGAGGTCTGGCTCCTCTGGCAAACCCTGCAGCCCCAGGCAGGCTCCCAGCAGGCGTGGGACTGAAGACTGGGGAAGCATCCTTCCCGACTCTGGGAATCTGGTCTTCCCTGGCAAATCCTGGGCAACCCCACAACCCTTCTCTGTCACAGTGGCCCTGGGGTCAGCAAGCCACTGTGAGGCCAGTGATGCCTTTCCACTCCAGCCTTGTCAACAGAAAAGACGGAATTATGAGGTAGGTACTCAGGTTCCCCAGGGTGGGAGCACCCTCAGGGCACCCATTCTTCTGTGACCATCACCGCATGTTCTCTGGGTCCTTATCATAAAGAACATTCACCAAGCACTTAGGAGCTCAGTGCTCAGGGAGTGGGCGAGTGCCAACTTTAATACGGTAGGGAAGTGAGGCTCACAGGATCACAGGACCTGGATTCCTGCTAAGGTCACCTACTAGGAGGGGACAGAGGTGGCTTTTTTTCTTTTTTCCTGAGATTGGGTCTTGCTCTGTGGCCCAGGCTGGAGTGCAGTGGTGCATAGTTCACTGCAGCCTTGACCTCCTGTGCTGAAGAGATCCTCCCACCTCAGCCTCCTGAGTAACTGGAACCACAGGTGTGCACCACCATGCCTGACTAATTAAAACAGTTTTTGGGCCGGGGGCAACGGGGCGGACATGGGTGAGCATATTGGCTCTGACTTGGCTGGCATCTTTCGCTGGCGTTGGAGGCCTTTTCAGAAGCGGCCGCACACGGGCTGCTGGAGATGGAGTCCTTCATGCTGGTGGTGGTGTGCACATTGAGCCCCGATATAGACAGCTCCCCCAGCTGACCAGAATTCAGGTGATCTGGATTGAGATCTTAAGTACAACCACGTGGTTCTGGATTCTCTGGCGCTTTTGGCATGACTCAGAAGTCATGCTGAGTCACTGTCCGTCTCCTGATCCTTCCCAGTGGACAGATGAAGAATGCTGAGTTACTATTCGTCTCCTGATCCTTCCCTCCTGATGACGAAGACTGAAGGTGTAGACTCAGACTCACTCTTTACAAGAGCCAGGTGAGAATTTCAAGGATTATCAACTTTGTATTGTACGTTTAAGTTACAAATTAAAGTGGCTTGGTCAAGAATGAAAAACAGTTTTTGGTAGATATGGGATCTCACTATGTTGCCCAAGCTGGTGTTAAACTCCTGGGCTCAAGTGATTCTCCTACCTCAGCTTCCCAAAGTGCTGGAATTACAAGCATGAGCCACCACACTGGGCCAGGAGCTGGTCTTGAGTCAGCCTTGAGGGCCCCTACAGCCCTTGCTGTTAGCACTACCCCACCCTAGCAAGGGGCTTCTGCCCCGCCTCAGTTCCCACCAGGGTGAACTGGGAACAGTGGGCCCTCGGGGAGGGCAGGAATGGGGGGCTGGCCTCTCTGTGGTGCCCCTCCCTGGGAGGAAACCACATCCTTTATGAGCTCAGGCTAATCAGGCATCCAAAGTGGAAAAACCCCACACAAATCAAGGACAGCTGGGCCTGCCCTCTGGTGGCAGCCCCCTCCTCTCGCTCCCCTCACAGGAATCCTGGCAGGCAGGGCACAGTTGGGGTGCAGATCGGATGGGGCAGAGCGGATCTCAGGGGTGGAGGGCGTGGTTCTCAGGGAGAGGGAGTTCTCCGAGGTCCTCCTCGCTGTGTGAAGTCTGCCCCAGCTGTCCCCTGTGGAGGGCCGGGCTGCTAATCATTTTCCAGAGTGGGGCCACAGCTCACAGGCACTGCCTTTACCTGTGAGGGCCCAGGTTGGGAGTGCCCACCCTGGGGAAGGGACGGACTGGGAAAGAGGTAGAGAGGGGTGTCAGGGAGAGAGGGACACAACACACACGCATACGCATAGGAGCGCGTGCAGTCACTTAGTCACTCAACAAACATGAGCTCTCACTCTGGTCAGGCGTGGAGGCATGAAAGGAATCAAGAATGAACCTGTCACTGCCCTGATAGAGTTCATGAATAGGTGGAGACAGGGGTCAAAATCACCCACAAAGAAATAGTTACAGTTGCTGGGCACGGTGGCTCAGGCCTGTAATCCCAGCGCTTTGTGAGGCCGAGGCAGGTGGATTGCCTGAGGTCAGGAGTTCGAGACCAGCCTGGCCAACATAGTGAAACCCCATGTCTACTAAAAATACAAAAAAAAATTAGCTGGGTGTGGTGGCGGTCGCCTGTAATCCCAGCTACTCGGAAGGCTGAGCCAGGAGAATGGTTTGAACCTGGGAGGTGGAAGTTGGCAGTGAGCTGAGAAGATTTTGCCATTGTACTCCAGCTTGGGCAGCAAGAGTGAAACTTTGTCTCAAAAAAAAAGAAAGAAAAAGAAAAGCAAAATCGAAGAAATAGTTACAGTCTGTGAAGGGGGTCCTGGATCTGAGGCCGGGCAGGGCCTTCCTCCCAGCATGGCCCGGCTCCCCAGGGTGGGTGAGTAGGTCTCAAATGAGACCTTCCCCGCCTCTTGCCCTCTCCGTTTCCTCCTGCTTTGGCCCTCCTTGTCACCTCCCCAAGGGACGAGGTTTACTGGGCCCAGCAGGGGGAGCAGCACAGCCCATCTCCCCTCCCTCCGCATGTCTCACAGCCGGAGGATGGACAGACAGAACATCTTCTTGGTCGTCTGGCTTAGACAGGGGTCAAGATGAGCTCGGGCAGTGTGGACCCTCAGAACCCCCGGGGCCTTCGGGGATCTGGCTGGACAGAAGGAACTTGTTGATGTCTGTTTCTTGGCAGAGAAGGACATTCAGACAGAGAGCAAGATGGAAGGAACCCTCCCAGGCTCAGTAGCTCACACTTGTAATCCTAGCAGTTTGGGAGCCTGAGGCGGGTGGATCACGAAGTCAGGAGATCAAGACCATCCTGGCCAACGTGGTAAAACCCCGTCTCTACTAAAAATTCAAAAATTAGCTGGGCGTGGTGGCACATGCCTGTAGTCCCAGCTACTGGGCAGGAGAATTGCTTGAACCCTGGAGGCAGAGGTTGCAGTGAGCTGAGATTGCACCACTTCACTCCAGCCTGCTGACAGAGCTAGACTCCTTCTCAAAAAAAAAAAAAAAGCCAGCTACTCTAGGGGCTGAGGCAGGAGAATTGCTTGAACCCTGGAGGCAGAGGTTGCAGTGAACCAAGATCACACCCCTGCACTCCAGCCTGGGTGACAGAGTGAGACTCTGTCTCAAAAAAAAAGAGTTCAGTCAGCTTCCATCTGTTTCACTTCTGGGAACACCATGGCCCACAGGTCAATGCCGTGGGTCTCTGTGAGTCAGATTACTGTATAGGGCTGAGGGCCCCACAGGGTCGTGGGGTGTCCCTTATGCTGTGATGAGGTGCAGGATCCCAGAAATAGACAGGATGCAGAAGTACAAGGAAAATGCAGCTGGGCTCAGGGGGGCACGCCACCTATGAGCAGAGTCAGGGAAGGCCCCAAACGTCCAGAGTCATGAGTAATTATTGTGTATAGGTTAGGGGGCAGGGCAGTGAATGAAATCAACTTTAAGGACAGTGATAGGGTCGTGAGCAATAAAACAAGGGGTCCACCCCCATTAGGTCACCTAGGCCAGGAGGTGGACAGTGCGCAGCAAGGGCCTGTTCCTATCAAGGCAAGGGCTGTGTGCAGTAAGGGGTCCACCCCCATTAGGTCACCGAGGCTTAAAGGTGGGCCATGCACAGCCTTGGTGGTGCATGGTGGGCCATGCACTATCTATGGGAAACTACTTCTAAGAAGATTTATGGAGGGATGCTTTAAGTCACACAGCAGTGACAGAGCTGTCAGGGTTACCGCCATCTGCTGGCAGATTCCAGTGAGTTATATGGGAAGATGCTTTTTGAGCAGCACAGTAGAAAGAGCTGGTAAAGTTCACAGTCACCAAGGTGGATTGCCGTTCTGAGGGCAGCCCTCCACAAGAACTGGAGTAAGGTCCTACAACTCCTTTATCAGGAGGAGTGGCCCTCACCCCAAGCCTGCCATACAGCGGGTATCTTTACAATATTGAACGCTGCCCCCTGGGCCACGGATTCTTGTCCTGGTATAACTGTTTTCCCTGAAATCATGCCCTGCACTGTGTCTGCTCCAGACATTCCTCCGACTATAAGCTGCTTATTCCTTAATTCATGCTCTCTACTGTGTCCACTCTAGGCACTCCTCCGATTATGAGCTAAGATATAGTTATATGTATGTATAGGGGAATGACCGAGGGGTGAGATTTTCTTTAGGCGCTCCTTCTATGAACTATTATATGATTATGTATAGAGGATTGTATAAAGGGAAATGACTGAGTGGTAAGACTATAAACTGAGATATTCTTCAGGCCTTAATTGTGCCAGGGTTCTGCTTAGCTCTCCTTCCTTGGTGCCTAGGTGGGGGGTTACCCACATTACTGTGATCGCTGATTGAATGCTGTTCACTGCGGCAGCCACGCGCACCTTGTTTTGAGCCTTTGAGCCCTGCCACCTGGCCCCTGCTACCCGGGATCCAGCTACTCCCCTCCACGTAGGTTTCCCAAGCCAGGGACTGCAGTTGTATAATTCCAGACCTGCGGGAGAAAAGCGATCACAGAGCTCTTGAAGGAGGCGTGTTCCCCTCACAAATTTATTTCTCATGGGGGTAGTAAGAGGCGTGTCTTCTGTTCTCTCGCAGGGTGGGGGAGTAGGTCTCAAATGGTAAATCCACTCTGACGCTGCAGCCTCCCCAAGCTTTTGAGTCCTATTCTCTACCGTGCACAGAGGCAGGCCTGGCATTTCAGCCTCACTTTGTGTAGGTCACTTTTGACCTACACAACCAGTCAGAGCTTTTTTTTTTTTTTTTTTTTTTTTTTTGGAGACAGCGTCTTGCTCTGTCACCCAGGCTGGAGTGCAATGGATGGTGTGGTCTTGGCTCACCGCAACCTCCGCCTTCTGGGTTCAGGTGATTCTCCTGCCTCAGCCTTCCGAGTAGCTGCGATTACAGGTGCATGCCACCATGCCTGGATAATTGTTGTGTTTTTAGTAGAAATGGGGTTTCACCATGTTGGCCAGGCTGGTTTCAAACTCCTGACCTCATGATCTGCCCACTTCGCCCTCCCAAAGTGCTGGGATTACAGGTATGAGCCACTATACCTGGCCCCAATCAGAGCCCTTTCAAACCCCAGCAGTGGCAGCATGAAGTCCAGAACCTCTGCTTAATGAACCCATATCTTTTTTTTTAATTTTATTTTTATTTTTAAAAAAGATGGGGTTTCACCGTGATGGTCAGGCTAGTCTTGAACTCCTGACCTCAGGTGATCCACCCACCTCGGCCTCCCAAAGTGCTAGGATTACAGGCTTGAGCCACTGCGCCCGGCCTGAACCCATATCAATCAATGCAGCCCAACCCAATCTTCTGTTCCTTCCCCCATTATTTCTGCCATGAGGTCTCCTGGCTCCCCCTGCTTGCTTGCTTGCTTGCTTTTTTTTTTAAGATAGAGTCTCGCTCTGTTGGCCCAGGCTGGAGTGCACCAGTGCCATCTCAACTCACTGCAACCTCCACCTCTTGGGTTCAAGTGATTCTCGTCCCTCAGCCTCCCAAGTAGCTGGGATTACAGGTGCCCACCACCACGCCTAGCTAATTTTGGTATTTTTAGTTGAGATAGGGTTTCACCATGTTGGCCAGGCTGGTCTCGAACTCCTGACCTCAAGTTATCTACCTGCTTGGCCTCCCAAAGTACTGGCATTACAGGCGTGAACCACCGTGCCCAGCCTCCCCTGTTTTCTGTGTCATGACCAAATATCACAAAGTACAGCCAGACGTGGTGGCTCACACCTGTAATCCCAGCACTTCAGGAGGCTGTTGGAAATAGATGCTTGGTGCCGCAAAGAAAAGTCAGCACTGGGACAAGGGATGTTTCAGCAACGCAGTTTTTACTTCTTGGACTGCAGGAAGGGTACCCTTCTCGCTAGCTATCATGCCACGAAAGTACAATAACAAAGGAAAACAGACACATTTATCCCTTACGCATTTGGGGTCATTCTTACTGCTCTGTCTGATCTCCATTGGCTGGAGTCAGACCTTACAATCTAAACTAAAACCCGATGGGCTAACAACTTAAAACTTTTATAAACAGGTAAAAGCAATGGAGAGCTGGGACATGCCTGTGAGCACGT